CCGAATATCTTTTTTTATAGAAGAGGGGGCAAACGAGCATGCGGCTCACCTGATGTTAAGTGAATACCGCCGCCCATGATCAACCGCAATAGGTGCGTTGCCGACGCTTTAGAAAAGAGTATGCTTTTTTATTGAAGGTCCCAGGTCGTATCGGTCCGGAAAAACCGCCGGTGGTAAACTATTCCACAGAGAGGTCGTACGCGGAATAAAACTCCTTTTGAAACGTACAGTGGTGGACCGCAAAGCATCCAGATGGTGTGGATGGTATCGAGACGTTTGCCGCGTAATGCGTTCACGAACAATTTCTCAGAGCGCTCCCAATGGTATATGCGAAAGAAAATGCAAAGAGATGCAACATCTCTTCGCAGCGCCAGTGAATCGAGCCGATCGGAAAACACTCGGTCGTCGACGATTCGAGCCGCTCTGCGCTGGATGCGGTCAATGATCTGCGGTGGATGCGTTACTGGGGAGCTATCTACTCAACGATAGGGGGTATAACGCGGATATCGTAAAAGGCGACAGGGGGAAACAAATTAGGGGATAGGTAGCAGTGACTTCCTTATAACATCTAGAGAAAAAAAACCGCGGTGGCCTACTAAGCGTGGCAATTATGGATTTTTTTATGACGCATTCTTTGAGGAGACCTTTGCTTAGCAGTAGACATCGGGCCCTATTTATTGAATGAATGACTGAACGCTATATCCAGTCAAAACAGTTTTTTCGCAATCAATTTTAAATTTAATGACTTGCTTGGTATTACGGAAAGGGCTACTGAACAAACTGTATATTAAATGCGTTATTTCGTGATGTAATTGTAATAAAATTTTGTTTTGTTGAACATATTTGACTTCATTATAAAAAGTTTTATTTATTTATTTTTTATTCAATTCTTTATTTGCGCAATATAAGTACAGATGGTGTTAAAGTGGTCAATTTACATTGTTGATCTTAATAATATGCTATAGTTTATATTAAAATTATTACATATCAAATTACAGTGTTTAAATAATTATTAAAATAATGTCAAATGAGATTACCTAATTAATACACAATGTCAAATTTGTAAAATAAATGTCACATAAAATGTCTAATTAATGTTACAGTACCACTAAGCCGGTTACAATACTACATCTAATAATTTGTCTTCAAGAAATTCCCTAACCGAATAATATGATTTTTCTAAAAGTAATGTCTTCAGTTTTTTTTAAAATAAATTATTATTTGAAATTTCAAGCAGAGAGTTGGGTAAATGATTATACACTCTAGGAATCATACAAAATACACTGCTGTTTAAAAGTTTAGTTTTGTTAGACATGAAGCTTATTTGGAAAGGGTATCTCTTGCTTTTTAATTTAACAAATAAGTTACTATTATTTCTTACAAATAGTACCATATCCAGTATATAAGTACACGGTAGTATCAACATTTTAATCTTTGGAAATATCGACCTACAGCTCTCGGTTTGTTTCATTCTGTATATAGCCCGAACGCATCTCTTTACATTAAAAGAGAAGTAACATGTCCATGGTAAGCGGTTAAAACTGTGGATATACCGGCAGTTTTGGACAACATGTAGATCGCATATCAATATTGATTAAGTTTCGAACACAACTGAAACTGTCAATAATTATTATGTTGGAAACATTTTATAATTATTTGGCGACAATCTCTCCTCTGTTCAACTGTTTGATCATATACTGTTATGTGTTTAACAAGTGACGTTGCGGTTAGAAAGATGCGGTTATGATCATATGCTATAGAAAAATGTTATATTTTATTTAGTATTTAAAAGACACAATTATAGTGTATTTATATTTTAGCTTCCTACACTGCTACTCCATATAAACTATAACTGTGACCACCTTACACTTCTCCAGGTGCACAATGTGTTTTAAAATGGTATAAAGTTTATTTTTTTGTATTTAGATAATAATGAAAAAGTTTTCTTATATTCGAACGCACAACTAAATGTTCGACGGAACAACTTAACCGCAGTCTGGTTGATTCACCGGTATTGCTCAATGGTGGATTATTACAAATCCACGGTTTTATCAGCCGACGAAACAGTCCGTATATGTGCGTGTATTTCATTTACGTCCGTATTTTTTAACTTCCGTGTCCTTAACCTCATAATAATGACACAGAGATATAATATTCAAAACGAAATTTAGTATTATGGTAATTTTCGCAACCCAACACCCTTTCACAGATAAATAGTTCCTGACAACCATTAAATATAAAGTATAACAATTTACGCCAGCTGGTGATGCAAACTGTAGAAGTTATTACTTTATGCAATAAGATACTCCTTATCTCAAAGGAACAAACGCTTGAACTAGAACAACAGTTTTTGTAAAATCTCCCATTTAACATGGCAGTCTTTTAATTAGATCTCTCAGTGCAGATTACCGAGTCTAACTTTAGAAAATAATCCAGCATTTATACTTATAACTGTTCTAAAATGTCTACTGCTTAGTTTACAGTTCTTCGCTTCTATTGTTAAAATTATATTTACAGACATTTCAAATTTGAAGCTGTAGTTATTCGTGTCAATTATTTATGTTGAATGTTATATGTGAAATATTTCTTTCTATTATAATCTTAGGTGTGAAAGATCAAAGAAAATCGTTTTTCATAGAGATCAGAAAGAACAGAGTCTTTTTGTCATTTATCCGCGAGATAAATGTTTTACCTCGCTAGATATTTTCTATTTTATTGAATTACAATGGTATAAATATAAAAGAACCCCTTTGTCGTATCTCCTCTGTTTCAAGGCACTCCCCTTATTGCTTTAGCTAACATTGGAATCTATGGCGTCGACATATCGAATGATGCCTATAAAAATCTTGTCGTGATTTTTACAGCGGGACAATACTTCATGCTAGCATACCACTTGCAACTCTAAAAAGCGCGAGTTTGGCCTCACATGGAATACTGTTCTCATCTCTGGGCCAGCGCATCCCAGTGCGAGCTCCCTCCACTTGATAGCATCTAGCGCAGAGTGGTTCGAATCGTCGGTGACCGTGCTCTTTCTGATCAACTTTACCCACTGGCGCTGCAGAGAGATGATGCATTTCAGCTGCTTAACACGTTCATGCACGCATACCATAATAGTCAACTTATAGGCCGTGGCGCATGATTACTCCATACAAAGTTTGAGGACGTCCATACTCGTATCGCCGTATCACAAACAAAATATTGCATATGACTTGTCGGTAACGTCAGTAAGCGTTGACGTTCAAGGACGCACCGGTATATTGCTAAAATTATTATCCATCAAAGGGGCAACAACGTTTAGGTACGTCTACGTTACCAGCCGTTCTGTTCCGATTTGTGGGTATTTTAGACCTTACAGATTACAAGAACGTCGTTAAACGTCAATGTCGGTACACGTTCTGCTTTCATCTCTAGACAAGATCCCTACACTATATTCAACAACGTTTAATAACGTCAACGTTGGGACACGTTCTGCTTTAATCTCTAGACAAGATATCTACACTATATTTAACAACGTTTAACAACGTTAAGGTTGGGACACGTTCTGCTATAATCTCTAGACAAGATTTCTACACTATATTGAACAACGTTTAACAACGTCAACGTTGGGACATGTTCTGCTTTAATCTCTAGACAAGATTTCTACACTATATTGAACAATGTTAAACAACGTCAACGTTTACAGCCGTTCTGTTACTAGTTGTCAAATATTGATACCATGATAAGAAAGCAGCGTCAATGCACGTTGACGTTCATAACTGTTGTTCCACAAATATCTAGTAGAACTTAAAGTTTTGGGAAACAACGTTTAATTACTCCAACGTTACTTGACGGTCTGATCATAAATCGACTATACGAGCAAATTATCTGTCGCTCATCGTTTCCTGACGTTGACTTTGATTTATAAAAATAAAATAATAAACAGGATTTGATATGGAATAATACTCAATAATCATCAGTTTTTTGTTATATATTTTTAGAAAATCAACTATTTTTCAAAAATTACCTACATATCACATTTTGTGTCAATATCTACCCTCTTCTCGACTTAATTGAAAATAATTTAGGTGCAATTGTCCATAAATTTCTACCAAGTTTTAGTTTAATAAAATTTACTTTTACTTCCTATCCTATGTGTGAGTAACTTTTTCAAATTTTACGCTATTATCACATATCGATCAAATAATACTATGGTAAGTTTGGTTTATCCCACAGAAGTAACGAATTATTTCTCAAAATAAACAGTTTCTCACTACTATCTTATCAATAAATTACCACTATAGCACAATAACAATCAGTCTTACACAGTTTTAGTATAACATTGGTAGCAAAAAATTATAAAAATTATAAATACTCACTTACTTTTACCTACCTATCATATGAATGAGTAACCTTTTAACATTTTACGCTACTATCACAAAATCAAATAATACTCTGGTAAGTTAGGTATTTTCTATAAAAGTAACAAATTATTTCACAAAATTAACAGTTGCCTGCTTCTATCTTATCAATAGATTACTAGTATAGCACAATAATATTCAGTCTTACACAGTTTAGCAGATTTAGTATAACAATCGTAGCAATAAATTATAAAACTTCTAAATACTCATATGCATGATACAGTTATACTTATTTGATATCACTCTCATAAAAAGGAACAAAATAGGTAAAAAAGCATTATACTTCTTTGTGCCGCTCTTCGAAGCAAAGAGCACACAGTGCTGGCTTTTCAGGGCAACCTTTACATCTCAGGCAAGTCTCCCTTCTCACCTTTTTTTTCGTGCACATCTTGCATTTCAAGTACTTTGATGTTTTGTTTGAACCCTCTTGCACGGGTATTTTCTCAGGCCAGTGACCATGGACTCTTGAGCTTCCGACGTCGTCGTCAATGGTACTGACTGGAAGTGGCAATAAATTAGCTCTGATTCTGTTGTCATATTTGCTGCGAGCTAAAATCACTTGCTCTGCTGTTAAATCTGCTGGTAAGTCCAACAGTCTTCGAATCAATTCCTCTCGGAAAAGCAAGAAATCACAATTGGCTTGGCAGTATTTTTTGAAAATAAAAAATGAGTTCCATATGCGACATCCAACAAGTGGAACATCACTTTTTTATACCACCGGATTGATTTCCTTGGTGAGGAGTAATATGAGATCATTTGATCTGCTCTATCAACTCCGGACATGTGTTGATTGTATTCTGCCACTTCTGCGGGTTTAATTTTTCTTTGTTGAAATCTGTTTTGTATTTCTATAAGCCGAGGATGAACTGAAGTTGTTACCATAAGAACTGGTCGCTTGTCAACCCATTTTGAAACATAGACCTTATTTTTTCGTTCCCACACATGTTGATTCTTCTTGAGTTTTTTCTTAATGATGTCTTTGGGATTATCTTTTCTGTTTGAACGTAAGGTACCTGTGGTGTGAGTTTTTAAGTCAACTAGCTTTTGCGAAAGTGTTACGGAATTGTAATAATTATCCATGTATAATTGATGTCCCTTCAGCAAATATGGCCTCATGAGACGAAGGACGATCTTTTCAGATTTTTTGCCAGTTCGAGCAGTTGTGTCTTTTCCGAAGTACATCATTATATTTAAAACATAGCCATCAGAAGTTGTCAACTCGAAGAATTTGATTCCGTAACGTACTTTTTTTGCTCTTTATATATTGTCTGAAGGCAAGGCGGCCTCTAAATAAAAGCAAAGATTCATCCAAACTTAACTGTTTGTATGGCTTATAGCACTCCATGAAGCTCTTGGTAATAGCATTAATAAATTTTTCAATTTTATATTTTCCTTTTGAATCTAAATCTGATACATAAATACATCTCAAGATTTGCTCAAATCTTCAAGCGGACATCACATAGTGAAAAATTGGGTGATAATACAGTGGGTCGGAATACGTAAAATTTTTGCGTTTTTGAGGAATTTTGATTTGACCCATAAGCAAACATAATCCAAAAAATTTCAAGATTTCTTCCCGGTTTGTGTCCCTAAAGTTATAGCTACGTGAGTTTCGAGTAGTAGGTCTTGCTTTCTCACATAGTGCTTGCCCGTACGTATTAGTACATGTTACAATATAGTCTACAATATTAGGATTAAGAATTTTATCAAATATTTCCATAACTGTCATAGCTGGGTTGACTTCAAACTGGACACCTGCTGAACTTTCATCAAACTCGAACGAAGGTATGTCTGTGTTCGTGTGTTCCCAATCATAATTTATCAGTGGAGGAGTGCTTGGTCTGCAATTGGTCGCTGGACTTATCTCGGGGAGTGTGTCAGGCACGGAGTTTCTTTCGGCGGCCTCTGGGTCCAGCACATGACAGATAGAAGGGTTGCGTTGTACAAATGCTTCCCGATCCAAAGCAGATGGACTGGTAGGCGCAGAATTCGTTTCGGCAGCATCTCGTTCCGGCACAGGAGAGCCGGACAAGCCACGCTCTGCAACTACCTCCAGTGCAAGTGTGCTGGCCGGAGTTGGATATCTTACAGTAGCGTTTAGTTCTGGTGGTGCAGAAGAGCTAGGTGAGCGGCACTGCGTAGTTGCGTCCCAGTCCAGGGCAGGGAAGGTTGGCTGGCGCGGGATTTTCCTCAGCAGCCTCCTGATCTGATGCAGACGAGCTAGGAGAGCGGCACTGCGTGGCTGCGTCCAGGTCCAGAGCAGGTAGGTTGGAAGGCGTGGGATTTTCCTCAGCAGTCATTGGATCCGATACAGGAGAGCCAGGAGTGCGGCGCTGCTCAACTGCGTCCAGATCCAGGGCTGATAAGTTGGCAGGCGCGGGATTTCTTTCAGCAGCTGCTGGATCCGGTGCAGGAGAGCCAGGAGAGCAGCGCTGCGCAGTTGCGTCCAGGTACAGGGCAGATAATTTGACAGGCGCGGGATTTCCCTCAACAGCCTCCCGATTCAGTGCAGGAGAGCTAGGAGAGCGCTGCTGCGCAGCTGCATCTAGGTCCAATGCAGGTAGGTTGTCATGCGCGGGATTTCCCTCAGCAGCTGCTGGATCCGGTGCAGGAGAACCAGGAGAGTGGCGCTGCGCAGCTGCGTCTAGGTACAGCACAGGTAGGTTGTCAGGCGCGGGATTTCTCTCAGCAGCTGCTGAATCCGGTGCAGGAGAGCCAGGATAGCGGCGCTGTGCAGCTGCATCCAGGTACAGGGCAGATACGTTGACAGGCGCGGGATTTCCCTCAACAGCCTCGCGATCCAGTGCAGGAGAGCTAGGGAGAGCGGTGCTGCGCAGCTACATCCAGGTCCAAGTCAGGTAGGTTGTCATGCGCGGGATTTCCCTCAGCAGCTGCTGGATCCGGTGCAGGAGAACCAGGAGAGTGGCGCTGCGCAGCTGCGTCTAGTTCCAGTGCACGTAGGTTGGCAGGCGCTGGATTAACCTCAGCAGCTGCAGCAGCATGGTCGTCTTCAGCACCTTGAATTTGTGGATTAGTATGGGAGTGACTTCCTTCGATATGTGAATAAATTGAGATATTTTCTAATACTGCAGGATCGAGTTGCACTGAAGAGCTTTCAAGATTTTCTATATTATTTAGCAATGCCTCAGAATCTAACGACATAGTGTCGGTACTCTGATCTGCACTGGCGATCTTAGGTTTTTTGTATCTTCATCCTAAAGAGGAACTCTGCCCCTTCTTTTTTCTCTTTCTACTGTCAAAAATACTCTCATCACAAGATTCTGCCGATATTGATATTTGTATCATCCTCGTTGTCATCGCTATCACATACATCCGTGCACTCGCTAAAGCCTTCGGTTCGATCGTCAGAATCAGAGCTGCTACTTACACTGCTTTCAGAGTTGCGTTTACCATGTGACCTCGTTGCGTTGTCCTTGGAACGTTTCTTTAGTTGTTTCTTTTCACGTTGCTTTGTGTGATCACTAACAGTGCTAGTGCTGTCTGTATTATCATCATATCCTGGATCATAGTCGTTATCGGAACCATACTCTCCATCATCACTAAATGGGTCTGGTGTAGATGGCCTTGATGAAGAATCATATTGAAACAACTTCATGGAAGCATTATTACTAATTTGGCGTGATTTTTCCACCTACAATAAAAAACATAGCTATCTTAGCATCTTATTAAGGACACAAAATTAGAACATATGCGTACATTTGAGATTTTTCAGAAAAAACTAAAAATATAACTTACGGAATGAGTTTTCCTTGATATCCCACTTGGTCCAGCTTCACATTTTTCTTTGCAACCTACTTCAATTACTTTTTTCTTAGATGGCTTCTTCTGGCCTCTTTTTCTATTTCCCATCTATAAAATTCAAAAATTGCAGCATATATACTATAATGTACTCATAACAACTATCACCATATCCTACAAAACTATAGAAAACGAAAAAATAACTTACGATTACTTTCTCAAATGCACGGCCTGCGAGGGTTTTGTAGCGTAAAACGTGGGTCACTGTACCGGCGCGCAAGCAGACTGGCAGTATGGCGACTCTAACCAAAAACGACGTTTGTCGACGTTGTTCATGTGTGTGTAGGTACCTATTGTTGCATGAATAAGTCAACTAGCGCCATCTAGTGTCAGGAACGAGAGCGAGGGGAGCATTGAGAAAATGACATCACAAATCACTCAACCGACAGCGCCTAGTCGAAACTCGAACGCTCGGTACCTTGCGCGTGTTTACTTGAACATTCTGGATATTTCTTTGCTAATTTAAATATATAGGCGCTGCAAGATGCGATGGGAGTAGTGTTGATTTGGCGAAACAAGCGAAGCTTCGGAGCGGAATAAAGTGAATAAGTGTGTTTAATTATTAGTGTTTTTAACATTAATTTGTGTAAAGTAAATTAAAGTGTTAATTTAGGTAATTTTATCGGCAATTTTTATTGTCACGAACCTCAAGCTAGTAACACTATCAATGTGACTTATGTTCAAGTAAGAAAAAAACTAATGTATTGTAGCGCTAGAACTTTGAAAATTTCACACGATGCGGCGCAATGACGTAGCTACCTAAAGATTATACAGAGATTTGACGTTACTAGCCGTTGTGCTTGGAAATTAAAATTTTCTTAGGACGTGATTAGACTATGTGCGTCATCGCGAAGACATCAAATTGGACGTTCTGTGACGTTGTTAGAACGAAAGTGTTAATTTCACAATCGCACATCGACAAAACTCATCCATAAAAAACACACCTTCAAGAAAAGAGCCTAATATTTTCAATCCCTTAATGGTTGAAATTGCGTTGTTATTAGAATAAATATGCGCAGTCGTGGTATTCATTTCTAATCCTTGTAAGGAATTTAATGAATTCATGTGTTAGTCACGGCACCTTTTCCATATGTTAGTTCAGGTTTTATGCATGGTATAGCCACGCTCGTAGCTATATCGTGGTTGTGGCACAAATGAGTGGGCTCAATCGAAGAAATTCCAAACTCTCAGAGAATATCAGCATAAAATAGCCGTTTAACACTGTCGTGTTTTATATGTTATATGTAGAGAATCGAAGTATTTTACGAGTGTCTTAATCCCCAGTGGTTAAAATGTATTCTGCGTGATTCTTAATCGAGGTTAGATGCAGAAATCTATGGGCTACAGCATTCAATTACCATTAGGTGGACTGTGTGCTCGCTTGTCACTTTTATTCTATAAATTAAAAAACTAAACGAATAATTGTATCTCGGGATGTACAAAAGGCACATCATTTCATAGTCTTCACTACCATCATAGTAAGATATTATTTAGTATTTTTGTTGTGAGATCTATTGAATTTATCTTAGATGAGAAAAAAATAACTTTTATCATCGATTTCAGATTTAAATAAAAAAAGTTTGTGGATAAAAAATTGAGGAGATAGCTTACAAACATAAATTGCACAAGGACAAGCATCGAGACCTTAAAGAATTATTTAGAAGCTATACAAATAATTGTTCCTTGCGGGATTCGACCCGTAGCCCCTAGCGATGCAACTCATTGCTAAGCCATTGAGCCACGGAGCCGTCAAATTCCACATATTGTAATGTAATTAATTAAACGCACATTGGAATTAATATCGTCAAACACAGATCATCAACAGTACATTGGTTCAAATGTAAATAAATTTAATAGGTGGTCTTGGTCAAGAATTCCAATATTCGATGAAGGCCTCAACAATGATATTTTATTAATAGGCTAAGCCTTAATGTTGGAATGAACAGCCAACGAGAAGGTAAAATTAATACGAAAACTTCACCTAATTGGTAAAGTTTTGCAATCAGAGACACTTTTCTGGCATGATACAATTAATAGTCTCTACATGAATACCATACCATTGAAAGATGGTCTAGATATTTTCTATTTAATTTTGATAGTTAATAGATTTCTATAAACGGTTTTCCAAAAGGTTCTCAGGTGATAGCCTCGTATTGCAAGCGAGGTGTGGTGGCCACCACTAAATGAAATCACGACCTGGTAAGAGAAGATATTATAGTTGTAGCACAAATAGCCAACTCTACTACTAATTCGTTTTAAAGCAGCACTAAAAATTGCAATCAACAACTTCATTGTTGCCAGCGATGATCAAACTCGGGTTGTTCGGGTTTAAATTCGTTTCGGGTTACGGGGTTAAATTTATAGCAAGTGCTTAGTCCCTGAGCTGCTAAGGCCACATTGTGAATATTTACAACATGTGTTGCCGTGTAGTGGCGGTTGAGAATATCCACTACCCCATATCTTCCCGTGGGTGTCGTAAGAGGCGAGAGAGGGAGACAAGCAGGAGATGGGCAGCAGCATCTTCCTAATAACAACAATAATATAATAAAAAACTGCGGTTGCCAAGCCACTCGCCAAGCGTGGCAACTACGGCAAATATCCCCCATGAATAAAGACTCAAACAAACGGCCCCCAGTCCCCGGTGGCCCCAATATTCCTAGCTACGGTGACGAACATGGTAACGGTGGGGCAGGGGGTGCTAAGAATCTCCGGCGGAGGTTTAGTTGCCACTTACGACGACTCGACCTGGCATATAACGCACGCATCCTGAGGACTAACGAGAAGATACTGGAGCTGGAAGAAGAGGTAGACAAGTTGCGCTGGCATATTATTGGATTATCTGAAGTCTGAAGAGAGGGGGAGGATACGGTAATCCTCGAGTCCGGCAACTTGTTCTATCAGATGAGGAGGTGGAGGAACTGTATGAGGATATTTCCAGAGCGATGCAATCCTCCAAAACCCACCACACGGTGTTGATGGGAGATTTCAACGCAAAACTAGGCACAAAAGAAAGCGTTGAGCTGAAGTTAGGGAAATTTGGAGTTGGGCAACGGAACCGTACTGACTGAACAGACAGATCTCCAAATGCATATGGCGAGACTTACGGAACTTTAATACTGCTCGTATTAAAGAAGCGATCGAGCGGAACCAGGGCTCCAAAGTCTTTGCCAGAGATCTGTCTGCCAGTAAGAGCCAACTGTCAAAGCTGAAAACTGAGTGTGGCAGCATCGTTTCCGGGACACCTGAGATTTTGAGTGAGATTGAGAGGTTCTATGGGCAGCTGTACACATCATCGTTGGAGCCACACGTAAATGTGAGTAATCGTTACTCACATTTACGTGTGGAGAGCCAAGAGCAAGTCTTATCCGACACTATTCCGATGATATCCCGGACGTCAGTTTAAGTGAGATTAAAATGGCTCTCCAGCACCTTAAAAACGGCAGGGCCCCAGGCGAGGATGGAAAAAGCGGGTGGAACACCGGTACTTGAAGTCCTTCAGAAGCTCTTCAATTCCGTCCTCCATGGTGGCAATACTCCAGAGGCGTGGAGCAGAAGTGCGGTGGTCTTGTTCTTTAAGAAAGGCAACAACGCTTTCTTGAAGAACTACAGACCGATTTCCCCTTCTGAGCCGAATCTACGTGCTGTTTTCGAAAGTCATTACGAATCGTCTCGCACGCAGACTCGACGACTTCCAGCCTCCCGAACAAGCCGGTTTCCGAAAAGGCTTCAGTACCATAGACCACACACATACCCTGCGGCAGATTGTGCAGAAGACTGAAGAGAAGAAAAAAAAAGAATCTGCCACTTTGCCTGGCGTATGTGGACTATAAGAAAGCCTTTGATTCCGTCGAAATTTGGGCGGTGCTACAGTCCCTTCAGCGGTGCCAAGTTGACTGTCGGTATATCGAAGTGCTGAAGTGTTTGTACAGTAGGGCTACGATGGCTATCCGAGTACAGAACCAGAGCTCGAAACCTATCCAACTGCAGGGAGGTGTAAGACAGAGTGACGTTATATCCCCGAAACTCTTCACCGCTGCATTGGAAGACGTTTTCAAGCTACTGGACTGGAAATGATACGGTATTAACATCAATTGCGAGTAAATCACTCAACTTCGATTTGCCGACGATATAGTTCTTATAGCAGAATCGCTGGAGGACTTAAGCACTATGCTCAATGACCTCAATAGTGCCTCCCAACGGATAGGTCTTAAGATGAACATGGACAAAACAAAGATCATGTTTAATGTCCATATCACACCTATGCCGGTAGTTGTTGGGAGCACTATGCTCGAAGTTGTTGACGATTACGTTTACCCGGGACAAATAGTCCGACTAGGTAAGTC